GGAGATACAAATACTAATAAAAATAAAATATTTATAAAAACTATTAATCGCAAAATGGAGGATTTGGGGTAAATCTTACAACCAGGTGAAGATATGAACTAGTTCATAGCTATAATTAAAGAACTCCAGGTAAGATTTAAGGAAAAAGAAGTCTTTTTGGAGTCAGTCTTTAGTCAAGCGTCACGGCATTACGTATATTAGCGTTACGAAGAAAAATTATGGAAAGTGCTAAAGGCACTTCTCTACATGTCATTGTGGTGAAGTTAAGTCGTCACGCGGACACGGTTAGACGGTTCCTGAGAGATTCTTTGTCAAGGAAAGAACGATCCGATTGTCGGACCCCCAAGTATGTGACAGCTACGCATTTAAGGAATATTAGCCGCATAATTATAAATTACTGTGGAAAACTAAAATAAACAACCGAAGCCATTTTCTTCGCCATTGGATTTCATCAAGTACGGAAAACTACCAGATATCGCCCCCCCACCACCACCACCAGGGGGGCCATGTCTTCCGTGCGAGCTTCCCTGAAATTGCCTCGTTTAATGCCCTGTCACAGCAATGTAAGGCTTCAATGGGCTCGGAAGTACATAAAGTTAGATATGAGTTTTGTTATGTTTACTGACGAGACCAGGGAGACCCTGATGGTTGGCAAATGTTTTGGTCTATTTTGGAGATGAGCGTCACCAACATTTACACCATCGGCAACAGGGTTGGTATCATTGGGAACAGACTAGGGCTTCTGACGCTAGGGCGTCAGAAGCTGTTGTAGTGTCCGCAGCTGACGACTGCAATCACCTGAAGAGGTCTTAGATCCCTGGCTAGAAGACATACCCTAAACGTTTCTAAGGACTCTAGTATTCATGTATGATAACACTCCCTCCAACTTTGGCGGAGATATCCAAGCATTCTTAGGTTCTTAAGGCATGCAAGTGAAAGGATAATTAAACAAGATGTTTATGCCGATGGACGCCATTTTACGTCAAAAGATATCTCATGGGCCCCCATCAAAGCTACAACTGTGACAGTCCAACCTGCTACTATATAAAAAAATGACAAATTCCATGAAGAATAGTGTTTTGAAGTTATTCGTCAAAATGGTACTAGGGTGGTTAAATAATTTATTATGTCAATATAATTTATGCTATTATGTTTTCTGTTAAATATCTATTCAAGATATGGTTCATACGTACAATTATTCTTCATTTTCTCAAAAAATGTCTAGATGGGCTATGTTTATTCAAAAGCTATTAGTATGGTTTACCATAATACTGACGAATCTGAAAAAAATTAAAATAAAGGACGTTACAGAGAATAATGAAAATCTAAAAATTTTGTTGCTATATTGAGCAAACCAGCTGGGGAAAGTTTTATCAAATTCACAGAAAAACGAGAAATCGTAAATTAAACTACCCGGTGATTTGCGTGGTTCGGGGTGTATTTAAGTATTTATTTTCGAATCTGCAAATGTATATTTTGGTCTGAAATTTATACCATTTATTTTAAGTTTTTCCTGAATAGGAGTTGATAGGTTCGCCTATTGCCCGGTTCAAATTTCTCCCCAGACTATTATACAGCAGTAGAGATTCTATCCTTAGTTTCCACTTTAGGACTAGATTTCCGGATACTTCTAAAATATTTTCCTTCTCTTTCACGTCCAGTGGCCCCTTACGTCTTAGTGGTGTTATCACCTTCCTTCGGATGAATTGAGCTTTGAAAAATCACTTACCGGAAAATCCTTAATATGCGTGTTTTACTTTGGTATTGAGTTTAAGGGAACTGAATATCCCCCTCCTTTTACTTCTACGTGCTTTATACATTTAGGACGTTAGCGATCATGGCTCTCCGCAATTTCCAGTCATGTGTATCTATTAATAAATTTTGTCGTTTCTCATCTCTTTAAGCCCTGTTCCGCCATTCATTTACTCAATCTCTCTAAGTAGGTTAAGCATTGTTTTCCTCTGTCTGTTTTCCATTCGATCTGTCCTGTATCAAATTTTCCAAGTCGTCTTTCCTCATTATGTGCCCCAGAAATTTCAACTGTCTCTTACTGATGTTAAGTACAAGTGTCCTTTTTGTTTCCATTTTCTCTAAAACATCGTCGTTGCTCACATGTTCGGTTCATGTCATCCTCAGCATCCTTCTGTAGAAATTTCAACTGTCTCTTACTGATGTTAAGTACAAGTGTCCTTTTTGTTTCCATTTTCTCTAAAACATCGTCGTTGCTCACGTGTTCGGTTCATGTCATCCTCAGCATCCTTCTGTAGAAATTTCAACTGTCTCTTACTGATGTTAAGTACAAGTGTCCTTTTTGTTTCCATTTTCTCTAAAACATCGTCGTTGCTCACATGTTCGGTTCATGTCATCCTCAGCATCCTTCTGTAGAAATTTCAACTGTATATTACTGATGTTAAGTACAAGTTTCCTTTTGTTTCCATTTTCTCTAAAACATCGTCGTTGCTCACATGTTCGGTTCATGTCATCCTCAGCATCCTTCTGTAGAAATTTCAACTGTCTCTTACTGATGTTAACTACAAGTTTCCTTTTTGTTTCCATTTTCTCTAAAACATCGTCGTTGCTCACATGTTCGGTTCATGTCATCCTCAGCATCCTTCTGTAGAAATTTCAACTGTCTCTTACTGATGTTAAGTACAAGTGTCCTTTTTTGTTTCCATTTTCTCTAAAACATCGTCGTTGCTCACATGTTCGGTTCATGTCATCCTCAGCATCCTTCTGTAGAAATTTCAACTGTCTCTTACTGATGTTAAGTACAAGTGTCCTTTTTTTTGTTTCCATTTTCTCTAAAACATCGTCGTTGCTCACATGTTCGGTTCATGTCATCCTCAGCATCCTTCTGTAGAAATTTCAACTGTCTCTTACTGATGTTAAGTACAAGTGTCCTTTTTGTTTCCATTTTCTCTAAAACATCGTCGTTGCACACATGTTCGGTTCATGTCATCCTCAGCATCCTTCTGTAGAAATTTCAACTGTCTCTTACTGATGTTAAGTACAAGTGTCCTTTTGTTTCCATTTTCTCTAAAACATCGTCGTTGAACACATGTTCGGTTCATGTCATCCTCAGCATCCTTCTGTAGAAATTTCAACTGTCTCTTACTGATGTTAAGTACAAGTGTCCTTTTTGTTTCCATTTTCTAAAACATCGTCGTTGCTCACATGTTCGGTTCATGTCATCCTCAGCATCCTTCTGTAGACATTTCAACTGTCTCTTACTGATGTTAAGTACAAGTGTCCTTTTTTTGTTTCCATTTTCTCTAAAACATCGTCGTTGCTCACGTGTTCGGTTCATGTCATCCTCAGCATCCTTCTGTAGAAATTTCAACTGTCTCTTACTGATGTTAAGTACAAGTGTCCTTTTTGTTTCCATTTTCTTTAAAACTTGTCGTTGCTCATTTGTTCGGTTCATGGTATCCCCAGCATTCTTCTGTAGAATCACGTTTGTTTTAAATCCGTTCTTTTTTCATCTCTGAGGATATTGTTCAGCATTCACTGGAATATAGGAGGAATGATATTACGTGACTGTCCAGTACTCTTTTCTTTGTTTCCAAATTAATTTTCTTGCTTCTTAATACTTGGCATATGTTTTTGGAATTAAAACTTTCTCTATCCCAATGAAATAAGAAACAAAAAACGTTTTGTTTATATGGAATAATATGAGGATACAATTATTATTGGAAGGAATAAAGGAAACAATGAGAAGATAATGACAAAGCGATGAACATACATGGGGTAATAGATTATCTTAGTAGTTACCATACATGGATTGATTGATAGATTCGTATTTTTTCCAAACATTTTGAATTGTAAGACTACTTTGCGAATGAATATTGGGTTAAAAATTGTCTTTTTAGAATTAAAATTATTTTTCTAGGTACAAGTGCTACTATTGAACCCACAGCTTGAGGAGAATCTGGATTCATACATTTCTCAAGTGTATTTCCACGTAAGTAAATGTAACGGGACCGATCGGAATTCGAACCTGGGCCTCCGATTTCGAACCGTTCTCCATTACATGTTCTAACACGTTCTCCATTACACGTTCTTAACATAGAATCTCTACTGGTTATTATTATTATTATTATTATTATTATTATTATTATTATTATTATTATTATTATTATTATTTGTATTTTCTTTGATTTCTGGCGTTTACATATTTCTTTCCGGGTCCCGCCCAGGGACCTAAGGTTAGAAATGGCGTCATGACACTTTCCACTGACAAAAAAAAAAAAAAAAATGATTACATAGATAAAACCCTTCGTAAGGTGTGGGCTGTACTTGTCAGAACAATTTTTTGTATCTCCTTGAGGCATGGACTTCCAGGAATCCCTTCAATTAGTCTACTGGAATCTTTTCCAACCAGTCCTAGGGCTCCAGCTACAACAGGGATTGTTGATGTTCCCATATGCCACATTTTCGCGATTTCTATTTCAAGGTCCTTGTACTTTGACAACTTTTTGAATATCTTCAAAGATACATTGCAGTCAGCAGGGACTGCCATATCAATAAGGAGGCACCGTTTTTATTATTATTATTATTATTATTATTATTAAATTTTGTAGGAAGAAATTGCTGAAGTCTCCTCAAAATTTCAGTGCATTTGTTTCTTATTATTACATGTACTTATCAAGTTATTAACCCAATCAAAACTGATAGTACTTCCTGAAGAATAAGTGACAGCAAGTCTCCAGATTACTCTCATTGGTATTATTATTATTATTATTATTATTATTATTATTATTATTATTTGAATTTAACGATGGCGCATTTTATCAGAACATCTGCGCCATGGAAAGTTATTCAGTTTAAATCCTATTTACTTGCCTAACATCTGCAAGATGTTTCCAGTTATTTATTATGAAGATAAACGCACATGACGACATGGGAAAATAATTCTCCAAACACTTAATATTTTCACGGTTACCCAGCCCTATATTGCCCCCTTTTCTGCAGCCTCTTCAGCTTACGTCGTTTCCATATTCATGTTTCCTTTAATTCATTCATTTTCAATTTTTTATTCTTATGTTTTCTCCTTCAGCTACAATTCTTGTTTATTCCTCATTTATTTTTATTTTTTGCAATGTCGACATTCTTCCTCGCTTTACTTCTTTTTTTTATTTGTAATTCGCTTACGTACTTCATTTTTCCATTCCATTTTTTATTCATTTTTTTTAAAATAATTCTTTCCCTTTTTTCGTTTTCCGATATTTTATATTATTCATTCATTTTCATTCTTTTCACATTGATTTCATTCCTCAGCTGTATTTGTTTCATTCATTTTTTTCATTCCATATTTATTTAATTTCTCAACTATACTTCTTTCTTTCTTTCTTTCTTTCTTGCTTTCTTTCTTTCTTTCTACATTCGTTTCATTCCTACACTGTATTTTTTTTCAATCTTTTTCTTTCTTTATTTCTTTCTTTCATTCGACATACATTTCAATCTATAACTACCTTTAATTTATTCATTTTCTTTCTTTTATTCTTTCCACATGTATTTCATTCCTCGGCATTCAATCTTTTTCTTTCATTCCACATTTATTTCATTTCTCCACTATACTTATTTCATTATTTTTTCTCTTTCTGTTTTTCTTTCTTTTGTCCTTTATTTATTTTTCCTTTCATTCTTTCTTTCATTCTTTCTTTCTTTCTTTCTTTCTTTCTTACTTTCTTTCTTTCTTTCTTTCTTTCTTTCTTACTTACTTTCTTTCTTTCTTTTTTCTTCACACATTCAGTTCATTCCTCCACTATATTATTTCTTTCTTTCTTTCTTTCTTTCTTTCTTTCTTTCTTCATCCCTTTCTTTCTTTCTTTCTTTCTTTCTTTCTTTCTTTCTTTCTTTCTTTTTTCTTCACACATTCAGTTCATTTCATCCACTATATTATTTTTCTTTCTTTCTTTCTTTTCTTCATCCCTTTCTTTCTTTCTTTCTTTCTTTCTTTCTTTCTTTCTTTCTTTCTTCACATTCAGTTCATTTCCTCCACTTTCTTTCTTTCTTTCTTTCTTTCTTTCTTTCTTTCTTCATCCCTTCTTTCTTTCTTTCTTTCTTTCTTTCTTTCTTTCTTCACATTTTCATTTCCACTATATTATTTCTTTCTTTTCTTTCTTTTTTTCTTTCTTTTCTTTCTTTCTTTCTTTCTTTTTCTTTCTTCACATTCAGTTCATTTCCTCCACTATATTATTTCTTTCTTTCTTTCTTTCTTTCCCTTTCTTTCTTTCTTTCTTTTCATCCCTTTCTTTCTTTCTTTCTTTCTTTCTTTCTTTCTTTCTTCACATTCAGTTCATTCCTCCACTATATTATTTCTTTTCTTTCTTTCTTTCTTCCTTCCTTCCTTTCTTTCTTTCTTTCTTTCTTTCTTTCTTTCTTTCTTTCTTTCTTCACACATTCAGTTCATTCCTCCACTATATTATTTCTTTCTTTCTTTCTTTCTTCATCCCTTTCTTTCTTTCTTTCTTTCTTTCTTTCTTTCTTTCTTTCTTTCTTTCTTTCTTCACACATTCAGTTCATTCCTCCACTATATTATTTCTTTCTTTCTTTCTTTCTTCATCCCTTTCTTTCTTTCTTTCTTTCTTTCTTTCTTTCTTTCTTTCTTTCTTTCTTTCTTTCTTTCTTTCTTTCTCTCTTTCTTCACACATTCAGTTCATTCCTCCACTATATTATTTCTTTCGTTCTTTCTTTCTTTCTTTCTTTCTTTCTTTCTTTCTTTCTCCCTTTCTTTCTTTCTTTCTTTCTTTCTTTCTTTCTTTCTTTCTTTCTTTCTTTCTTTCTTTCTTCACACATTCAGTTCATTCCTCCACTATATTATTTCTTTCTTTCTTTCTTTCTTTCTTTCTTTCTTCCTTCCTTCCTTTCTTTCTTTCTTTCTTTCTTTCTTTCTTTCTTCACACATTCAGTTCATTCCTCCACTATATTATTTCTTTCATTTCTTTCTTTCTTTCTTTCTTTCTTTCTTTCTTTCTTCCTTCCTTTCTTTCTTTCTTTTTCTTTCTTTCTTTCTTTCTTTCTTTCACATTCAGTTCATTCCTCCACTATATTATTTCTTTCTTTCTTTCTTCCTTCCTTCCTTTCTTTCTTTCTTTCTTTCTTTCTTTCTTTCTTTCTTTCTTTCTTTCTTTCTTTCTTCACACATTCAGTTCATTCCTCCACTATATTATTTCTTTCTTTCTTTCTTTCTTTCTTTCTTCATCCCTTTCTTTCTTTCTTTCTTTCTTTCTTTCTTTCTTTCTTTCTTCACACATTCAGTTCATTCCTCCACTATATTATTTCTTTCTTTCTTTCTTTCTTTCTTCCTTCCTTTCTTTCTTTCTTTCTTTCTTTCTTTCTTTCTTTCTTCACACATTCAGTTCATTCCTCCACTATATTATTTCTTTCTTTCTTTCTTTTTTTTTCATTTCTTTTTTTCTTTATTTATTTCCTTATTTTTCTTTCCACATTTATTTAATTTTTCCACCATAGTTATTTCATTCTTTCTTTCTTTCTTTCTTTCTTTCTTTCTTTCTTTCTTTCTTTCTTCTCATTCACTTCTTTCTATTTATTTTCTTTTTACCCATTCAGTTCTTTTTTTTCCTTTTTCTATATTATTTCTTTTCTTTTTTTCATTTTCATACATTTTCTTTAATTTATTTATTTCATTCATTTTCTTTCTTTTATTTATCATGTATTTCATTTCAGTATTCAATCTTTTCTTTCATTTTCATTTCCCTACTATACTTATTTCATTTTTTTTTCCTCCACTCTTTCTTTCTTTCTTTCTTTCTTTCTTTCTTTCTTTCTTCAACATTTATTTTATTTCCACTATATTATTTCTTTATTTATTTCTTTCTTCATTTTCTTTCTTTCTTTCTTTCTTTTTATTTAATTTCTTCTCACATTCATTCCATTCCTCCACATAGTTATTTCTTTCTTTCTTTCTTTCTTCATCCCTTTTCTTTCTTTCTTTCTTTCTTTCTTTCTTTCTTTCTTTCTTCTCATTCATTCCATTCCTCCATTATTATTTCTTTCTTTCTTTATTTTTTCATCCCTTTCTTTCTTTTTTCTTTCTTTCTTTCTTTTTTCTTTCATTTTCCATCTATATTTTTTTTCTTTTTTCTTTTCTTCATCTTTCTTTCTTTCTTTCTTTTCTTTCTTTTTCTTTCTTTCACATTCATTCCATTCCTTTATATTATTTCTTTTATTTCATTCATTTTCTTTCTTTCTTTTTTCTTTATATCTTTCTTTATTTCTTCTCATTCATTATTCCTCCACTATATTATTTCTTTCTTTCTTTCTTTCTTCATTTCTTTTTCTTTCTTTCTTTCTTTTTCTTTCTTTCTTTCATTTTCTTTCTTTCTTTCTTTTTCTTTTTTCTCACATTCTTCCATTTTCCACTATATTATTTCTTTCTTTCTTTCTTTCTTTCTTTCTTTCTTTCTTTCTTTCTTTCTTTCTTTTTCTTTCTTCTCATTCATTTCATTCCTCCACTATATTATTTCTTTCATTCTTTTTATCCCCTTTCTTTTGTCTTCTTTCTTTCTTTCTTTCTTTCTCACATTCATTTCATTCCTCGGATATATTTATTTCATTATTTTTCTTTATTTCTTTATTTATTTCCACATTCATTTCATTCATGTTCTTCTCTCTTTTTCAGTTTTTAATTTCTAAGTTTATTTTCTGTTCTTTATATTTTTGATCTTTATTTGTTCTTTTTTTCCTTCATTCTTTCATTTGCTTTTTCTTTCTCTTTTTTTTTTATTCTTTTTATTTCTTTGTTTCTCTTACATTTTCCTTTTTTTCTCCTCACTGCTCTTTGGCTTTCTTTCAATTTTTCTCCATTCCTTCACGAATTTCTGTTTAAAATAAATTGGCAAAATTTTAAGCATTTGTTTCAATGTCAAGGCGGCTGACAAAATATCTTCGAGGTTTGGAGGAAGAAAAATAAACCGCTGACATCGCCACTTAAAAACTAGTTTGTATCGAATGGAAGGGATGGATTACGCATTTTCTATGTGTTACAGATTGTTTGTATTTTGCTTCCTTTTTTACGAGTAGAGGTACTAGGTTAGGTTTACCATTAGAGCGTACCCTGACCTGATTTGACGCCTGCCTGACTCAATGCCAGCTGCCACGTTCATATGTTTCAAATTTTATTATATTTTTTTACCTTCATCTTCCATAGTTTGGTATGTTTTGCCTCACTCATTTAATTGCAACTCGTTAAACTCTCTCTTTTTTCTTTATCTATTTTGGGTTTATTTTTCTTCTTTGTTTCTATCTTCTTTTAATTTTTCTCTCAATCCTTCCTTCTTATCTTTTTTTTGTCTCCTTCCTTTCTTGTCTTCATTGTTTTTACTTCATTTATTTTCTTTTTTTACTTTTTGCTCTCATTTTATTTTTTTTTCTTTCTTTATATTTTCTTTATATATCCCGTTGTTTTACATACATTTTAATTTTTCTTCTTTTCTTTAATTTTTCGTTGTTTGTTCGTTTGTTTTTGTTTCTTTTTGCTTTTTGTTTTTTCTTTCTTTTTCTTTCGCATTCGTTCTTTATATTTTTCTTTCTGTCGTTTTCTTTCTTTCTACTTTCTCTCGTTGTATTACATCGTTTTTAATTTTCTTCGTTGTTTTTCCTTCTTTCTTTTATATCCCGTCTTTCATTTTCTTCCCTGCTTTCTTTCTTTTTGCTTTTCGTTTTTTCTATCTTTCTTTTTCTTTCCCATTCGTTCTTTATATTTTCTTTCTGTCGTTTTCTTTCTTTCTACTTTCTCTCGTTGTATTACATCGTTTTTAATTTTCCTTCTTTTTTTTTCGTTGTTTTTTCCTTCTTTCTTTTATATTCCTTTCTTTCACTTTCTTCCTTGTTTTCTTTCTCTCTTTTTTTTTTGCTTTTGCTTTTTTTCTTTCTTTCAGTCTATATTTCTTTCAGAGGAAATGAGGATGCTTGATACAATGTGCTTGGCATGGTGAGTTCTTAACTCTGAAAGTTAGGACAGGTGGATCTAAAGAGTGTAGTTCATCTAAATGCTTTCCACGGACGTAATGACAGAACAGCAAAAGTTTTGCGACCTTTCGTCTGTGAAAAATGTAAGGTGAAAAATAATTAATCATCTACAAGGACACGAAGAGGGTTTTGGACCTTATCGAGACAGGAAATGAAGGACTGGGGCGCTGCTGTCCATATATGATAGCAATACTCTATTATCGTCCAGATCTGACTTTTGTAAAGGTAGAAAATCGCAGGAGTGAGATACTTACTGGAGAAGGACATTGAACTGACCACGTTCCAGTATTTTTAGCGAAGGATATTACGTACGTGTTATACTGAGGAGCTGCATTCGCTGGTTCCAAGACTTCATGAATTCAAGCGCCCTACGAGGCTGGCATCCCGCTCTGTCGAAACTATTAAATTTAACCGTCTCTTCTACTTCAATAGCTTCATATATCGCATCTCTCGTCTGTGGAACTCCCTTCCCTATTCCAGTTTCCCTGAGAGCTATAATCTCCAACTATTCAAATGTAACGTCAATCGACATCTCAGTTGCATTGATCTATCCACTATCCTTCTCCTCATCCTTTCCTCTATCACTCCTATCTGATCTTGCTCCAAATCTTCTGTAACCCCTTGCGTCCTAGTGGCTTCCCGCCTTGCTTGGGGTGAATCGCTTAAAAAAAATACTTGAGTTCTCAGTTTAGTTTGTCTCGTACTCAATGTGCGGAGCAGCGCTGAGAGTACACCTGTTCGTCGCTATAGGTGATAATTCACTGTTCGCTCAGTGATGGTAGAACGTTACTCGTTCCGTTTCATTCTCTGGCTTTTTTTGCTAATTTTTTCTTTTCTTCAGTAATTTCCTGTTTCCTTTTCTTCATCTATTTATAATAATTATTATTGAGTTTTATTTTTAATTAATGCCTCTGCACTTGGATTTTTTTGGAACACAGGTTTCTTTTCAAATTTTATTTCTGGTTATTTTTTTCTGATAGGTTCGCTCTTTCAACGTCCCTTGTTTTTCTTTCTTTCCTGTTTCTTTCTTTCTTTCGTTATTTCTTCCTTTCTTTTATTATTTCTTCCATTCTTTCTTCTTTCTTTCTTTCTTTCTTTCTTCCATTCTTCCATTTTCTTTCTTTCTTCCTTCTTTTCTTTCATTAATGCTTTCAATTTTTCTTCCTTCTTTTTTCTTAAATGTTTCTTTTGTGATTTCTTTCTTTCTTCCTTCCTTTCATTCATTCTTTCTTTTATTCTTTCGATCTTTCTTTCTTTTTTTTCATTTTATCTTCCTTCCTTTCTTTACTTATTTTCCACATTCATTCTTTCTTTTTTATTCTTTCTTTCTTTCTTTCTTTCTTTCTTTCCCATTCTCCACTCTTTATATCTAATTTTTCTTTCTCCGTTTTCATTCACAAGTTGTTTTTTTTTTATATTCGTCCTCCTTTCTATCACACTTTCTTTTCCTGCTTTTATTCTCCCTTTATATTCTCCCATCAGCATCTTGCTTTTTTTTTTTTCCATATTCTCATCATATTTTCTTTATTCTTAATTTCTTCCGACCTGTCACTCTTCCTTCTTCAATTCCGTTCTGCCACTTTTCCCTTTTTTCCTACGATCTTCCTTTCTTCAATTCGGTTTACCACTTCCACCTCCTTTCTTCCGAAATTCCTCTCTTTCTCCCTACCATCCGAAGTTATTCCAATAATTCCGTTCCGCCTCTTTTCCACCTTTTTTTACGACATTCCAAGTTTTATTCCTTTATTCTTACTGTCATTCCTTTCATCCTTTCTTATTACTTTTGATGCTTTCCTCCATCTGTCAGACATTTTTTCTTTCGTTCTTTTCTTTCTTTTTACGGCTTTTTTTTCTCTTTCTTCCTTTAAAACCGTTCCACTACTTTACCTATGTACGGCTTTCCTACTTTTCAACAATATCGTTCTGCCATTTTTCCTTCCTTCCTACAAAGCAAATCTCGTTTCCTTCCTTCCTTCCTTCCTTCCTTCCTGCCTTGAAAACTATTCTGCCTCTTTCCATCCCTTCCCTCAATACTATTAGGCCTCTTTAAGTTTCTTTCACTCAGCGTTACTTCTTTTCATCAACACAGTTCTACCCCCTTTCCTTCCTTCCTTCAATACCGTTCGAGACTTTACCGTTCTTTCTTACGGCATGCTTCCTTTCATCAATTCAATTCTGACACTTTTCCTTCCTTCCTTCAATACCTCTCGGCCCCTTTACCTTTCTTTCGCTCGACCTTACTTTCTTTCATCAATACCGTTCTGTCTTCTTTCCTTCTTTCTTTCATTACTTCCTTCCTTCCTTCATCCATTCTTTCGGCCCCTTTAATATCCATTCACACAACCTCACTTCCTTTCAGCAATACCATTCTGTCTCTTTTCCTTTCTTGCTTACTTCCTTCCTTCAATACCGCTCGGCCCCTTTGCTATTCTTTTGCTCGGCCTTACTTCCTTTCATCAATACCATTCTAACACTTTTACTTCCTTCTTTTTTTCAATACCATTCAGCCCCTTTATCATTATTTTGTACGGATTTTCTTTCTTTCATCAATACCATTCTGTCTCTTTTCCTTCCTTGCTTCCTTCCTTCAATACTGTCAGTCCCTTTACTTTTCTTTAGTACGATCTTACTTCCTTTCATCAAAACTGTTCTGCCTATTTTTTTCTTTCCTTCGTTTCTCCCTTCTTTCATTATCTACCTCTTTTCCATCCTCCCTTTCAAAACCGTTCGAGACTTTACAGTTCTTTCGTACGGGGTTCATTTCATCAATACCATTGTACCTTTTTTCCTTCCTTTTTTTCTTCTTTCCTTCTTGAACTGTTTCTTTTTTTTTTATTACCTCGTTTCTGCTTTCTCTCATTAATTTGTTCCCTCTGTCACATATTTATTCGCAGACAATTTTATCCACTTTTCTTTAAGCATATGGGGCAAAACAGTGAGCTTTCCAAATTATCGTTGGCTGATTTGCACCCATAGTTAAAAGTGAAAACCGCATTGTTCGTTCCTGAACAATATTTTCTATAAAGACAAAAGCTTAAAAAAGAATAGCAAAACTGGTTAACCACGGACCAGCGGAAAACAGTGTCAAAAGGACTTTTTTTTTCCGTTGACACCGCTATTAGTTTAACAACTTTCACTCCTCGGCGGATTTTATTGTTTTAGAAGCAATGATTAGAATTTTAACTAAGCTTAAATGTGTGATGAACGCGAACTTAGACATTTTCTTTGTGCTTGAGAATTGTTATGGTCCAGTTCCTTGTACCACGGTGATAGTCCAAGGTAGAACCAATAAAGAAGAACTCGAACACAGGTATGGAATAACACAGATATATTACAAACAAGAATATATACAGAGAAGTAGAAGTATTAGTATGAACAATCAGGTTTAGTAGAGAGAACAATGTAATCTCGACCAGTATCACTATTCCAATGTCTTGCAGTATTTGTCTGAACGCGACTCTGTTTTGGACTGCCTCTGACTCGACTCTTGACTCGACTTGAACTACTGACTCCTGAGGCGCAGTATTTATCAAGTATGGAATAGTCCATTATTATTATTATTATGAGTTCCCAATCCTCACGTTCCACAGTCACAAGTGAACACAACATTGTGCTAAACAATTTGGGCACCTCGACGTTGTGTAATGATTAGCAAGATTGTCTCGCTAGATCACTTACGACTGAGAAGTCCTTTCGATCCACATTGGGTGCACAATACGTCCGTCCCTGTGCTACACCGGAACTACGCTTATAAGACCATCATCCTGCTATACAAACAATCAACTTAATAAAATAAGAGTGTATAATAACTTAATGTATTTCTCCTAAAACTTTTTGCAAGCATGTGTATAAAGACTGGTATTAGGAATGAATTACATTTAAACTGGTTTCGAACTTATTAAAAGCTACAAGTGAGAGGACGATGTGCATGTCCATGATCGCCTACGCCCTGAAGGAACACGGCAGATAAAAAAAAGTTGTTGAGCTGATTTGGGATTCCTGGTATGTATACGTCATTTGGCTCGTAACTAATATTGATAGAAAAAAGTTTTTCTACCTTGTCACAGGTTCCATGAATTATACAGGATATTGTTTTTTTTCCTTAGTCAATAAATTAGGTATGCTATCGGAACTGTTATATACCATATCTAAATTCATCAACAGCAGCTGATTAGTAAGAAGATCAGGTGTTAAATCTAGTGTTTTGAATGATGGGCTTATGGTGTCTTCCACAGAAATTCCTCCAGAAAATGAAAGGATGACATATATTTGCATGCAGATTTACTTTCGACGTGTCAGAAAAATAATTCCAAATTCTTGTTGTACGTTTCTTTTTCGCCCAGAGAATATACAGCTCGATTTGAAAGATCGGAGAGCCAAGTTCGAATTCTGGCTGGTTTTGACACTTACGCGTAAATGTAATTGAGAAAAGTATGAATCCATCTCCTCCTCCATCTATGGATTAAACAGTATTACGTGTATTTGGAAAAAAAACATTTTCATATCCCAAAAAGATGTTAATGCAATTTACACACGCAAAAAAAAGAATTATTCTTTCAATCCAAAATCAGTTAATCAATCATTCGTTTATCATAAAAAAATGACCTTATAAATTTGCATATGAATATAAATGAATAATTCGCATTATGCTATGTGACTAAAATCAAACTGCTGTATATATATATATTAATGTCTTTAGGATAAATACGTTTAAAAACTTTACAACAACTTGCTTACGTTTATTAATGATAATTGTGACATTTGCAGGGTGAATGTCGGCTCGGATTGAGGAATCGTAGAACTGAATTAGGGTTCATTCCGTTCAAACTCTAGAGACGGAAATTCAATGTGATTGGTCCTGGCATCTCGCCTACAGTCAGTTTCTCACAGACGTGCCGTCATAACCTTCTGTCTTTTCTACAAATATTTTCATGGCAACTACTCTGACAAGCTATTTCCGCTGGTTCCCAAACTGCATGAATTTAAATGGGCTACTAGGTTGGCCTCTCGGTCCCACCCTTTCACTGTCGAAACAGTTAAATGTAGCCGTCTCTTTTACTCCAATAGCTCCATGTCTCGCACTTCCCGTCTGTGGAACTGCCTTCCTTTCACTTGCTTCCCTGATAGCCATAATCTTCAATTATTTAAATGCAATGTCAATCGACATATTCAGATGCCTTGATCTAATTCCCTGTCCTTCTCTTCATCCTTTCCTCTATCACGCCTCTTTTTTCTTGCTCCCAATCTTTGTAACCCCTTGCGTGCTAGTAGCACTTCCTCCTTGCTTGGGGTTAAATGCTTAAAAAAATACCCTTGGGAAAAGTATAAATCCATATTATCTTCCTACAGCTAAAGGTAAATAGAACAAATTGAAACCTATAGAATAGTGCTTCCCAACATGGGCGCTAGCGCCCTTTTGTGGGCTCTGTTATGTAGAATGGGGGCACTGTGAATTTTTATTTCCTTGGGGGTGAACATAGTCGGCGGTGGGTAAATATACCCGGAGCGGTGAAAATACTCTGGTGTTTTACATTTATCCATTTTTCAAATTTTCAAACATTATTCAAAATTACCTAGAAAAATGAAATTTTTAAAAGTTATCTAAATCTGTGGGAATCTATCAAACTTTTTTTCGTTAGTTTTCCAGATTCCTAATGGCTAAATTTGATTTCAACGTAGTTACACGGCTTCTTACTAAACAAAGAAACCGCCTTCAAAATACAAAACGAGGAGATCTACGATTATTTCTAAACAGCATGGAACCTCGAATAAGACCCTTAGCCATTAAGCATCAACCATCGCATTGAAAACATTGAGATAAGCTACAAATAAATGTATTTTTAACTTGGCATTGACCGAACATGTGAGCAAAAACATTTTTGGAGAAAAAAAGGAAACTTATACTTAACATCGGGAAGAGGGAGTTGAAATTTCTGAGGAACATATTGAAGAAGGAGGGCTTAGAGAAACTGATACTCACAGGACATACTTAGGGAAAGAGGGACAGAGGAAAGCAAGCGTAAAGTACTTGATGAGCTTGAGGAAATGGATAGTAGAACAGAGTTTGCGAGAAATAACAAAAAGACAGAACTTATTAAGATCTAAAAGGGACAAGAAGATGTGATGATCCATGATCGCCTAAAGGACACAGCACATGAAAGAAGAATGATTTATAGCATTTATAAAATATGAAAACAATATTAAAACTATTTTTGCACAAATACCTAAATATTCAGTATTTACATTAGTCGGACTATTGTCCTCATCCTCACAACGTTTCGGCCGTTGTACGTTCCGGCCTTCTTCAGGTGGTTGGAATTTCGAACTGAACCCTTTATTTCGATCGCTGGGGTAGACTGTTCTAATTCCACGTGCCATGTTTGATGGATGTCAGTTATCAGTTATCTCCTGCTAATTTTCCCTCTGAAAGTTCTCCACTGCCTCAACCAGGAATTGAACTCACCTTCTTTGGGTCTGTCACTGGATCTAACCAACGCCTTTATCCACTGTGCCATGTGTCCTTGAGGACATCTGGGTATGAACTTCTGAGTATTATAAACCTAATGTTTTCAGCATCATTTTTACCAGTGCTCATATTGCAATTTTTTTTTTTTTTTTTTTTTTTTTGCTGTTATCATTGCATGTCTTTACCAGAGTTCATATTGCAACTTTGTTATCATTGCTTTTCTCTGGCACTCCTTATTACTGGTTCCCATATTGTATTTATTTCTATGCTTGGTCGGCTCAGGAGATTTTTGTGGCCTAGCATATGTGCTGATTCCTTAAGTTTACGAATTTTCCAATGGTGTTTCTCTGTCTATGATCTCAACAAGATCCCACAGGGGCGGTGACCTCCTTCTCTCTCCATATGTGGTCAGCCACGCCTGATTTTTTCTACTTCCCCTCGCGTTACAGCTTTCTGGTGTTCTTGAAGCCTTACCTTGAGGGGGGCGGCCTGTCTCTCCTTTATATTCCTTTCCGCAGCTGCATGGGATAGCGTACACACAGTCTTTAGTCATGTTCCTCTCTATGGGGGTCTCACTCGTGAGAGATACCTGCGAAGTGTTGTCACGCTTTTGAAGGTTGTCCTGATGTTATATGGACCGCAGATCTTTTGTATTTTCTCTGATAACCCCTTCACATAAGGCAGGCAGACTGTTTTCTGAGTGTTGTTGTCCTCCTCCTCCTCCTCTTGTACCCGCCTATCCCAGTTTTTGGGGGCTGCTGCCATATACCCAGGGTAGTTGTTGCGTTGAAGGGTACTACTTATACTGACCAATTCCTTATCTAACGTCTCTGGATCGCCACTTATGACTTTTGCTCGGTGT